AAAGTTTACATATATGGCAATAACAAGATATTTTGTTTCTCATTCGTTGCTCTGTTTTTCCTTGTAAAGAACAAAAAAAAATGCAGCAGCAGAGAAGCAGTTACATTTGTGACTCATAGAATTGCTATTTATGTATATTTCATATTATAAATCACATGGTGGCATATCTTTGACATTCACCAGCTCTCACCAGGTTCATTTTTTCTTTTTCCGTCCATATTCACCTCGCTCAGTCCACGCCTGTCACAGCCAGAAGATTTATGACAACCAGCTTGGCAGTTATATGATTGAGGGTGTTGTGTTGTAACCCATCTCAATTTTGATGATGATGACAGTCCAGTACTTGGGCTAAAAAGTGTCAGAGAGAATCTGTAATATGCAACAAAGCATTTTCATTCAGCCATGGAGGAGCCTCGAATGAATGTGCTTGTTGTCAGATATTTTACAGACATTCGGTGTTTGGGATTTGGTTCAGTAATTCAAGCTTTGTATATTTTCTCTCTCTCCCTGCTATCCCCGCTCCCTCTCAGCCTGTCTTTTTCCTTACCTCCTATTCTGTTTCAAGGCTTCAGACAGCTTTAGTGTGAAGTTTGAACTTTGAAGCGATTTCTCCAGTGCCCACTGTTCAGCGCTTGACATTTTTGACATTGTTTCTAATCTTTATTCTGTTCCTGTTAGCAGCGACTTGGATGCAGTTGTTTACTATGACACTCACCCATCAGTCCTGACCTCATTCATCTCCATGTGTGTTCCCTCTCTCTGTCTCGCCTCTCGTACAGTGAAAGGTTCTTTGTCAGGCTGAATAAGAGCGGGTTGCCCAAGTCGCCAGAGAAGACAGAAAGACAATGCACGCTATTTGTGGTGAGTAGTGAACATGACTTTGTGTGTAAAAAAGACTGACTGGGAGCAATTTAAAGCTATGTAAAGTTGACTTAACTCATGTTCTATTATGCTGAATACTAAAAAGCTATGTCAGCCCTCTTCAGCTTGTTGACAATGACTGGCTCTGGTGTTTAAGTATGTTTTCCTGTGTTGTTTGTCAGGATTTGGGAAGCAGTGATCTACGAAAGGATGTCTACATCGTCGTGCACATCATAAGAATAGGTGGGAGTGATGTTGTTGCCTCTTTATTCTCCTGAGCTCTACGTGTTTTTTTTAAAAATCTCTTGGGCTTTCATGAGAGCATTGTTTCTTACTGTGGATGCGTCTTTGTGCGTCTGCAGGGAGGATGGGAGCAGGAGAGAAGAAGAACCTGTGTAGCGTTCAGTACCGGCGGCCGTTCGGTTGTGCTGTTGTCAGCATTGCTGATCTCCTCACTGCTGACTCCAAGGATGACCACTTGCTCAAGGTTTATGCGTAAGTCGCTGTGAAGAGCTGTAATTTCAATACAGAGTCATTTCATCGACATTGTACCAGGGTATACTTAAAGGATACTACAACCTCATGGAAAATTAGCTTCGTCACTCTCTTACCAAAACTATCTGCACCTCTAAAGCTCAAGACTGTGCATGAGGGTTTTTTATGCTAAGCTAAACCACTGGTAGTATTCTTTTAGTGGTCAGAGGTTGTTAAAATTAACTACAGGTTAATTTTTTCTATCAAGTGCCAACCTACAACCATTACATTTTTAAAAAAAGAGATCAGTCAATCGTCATAAACTCAAGGCTAGAATTCCCTTTTATGAAGCTACAAAGCAATTCAGCTCAGCTAAATAATGCATAAGTGTTAATGTGGACATTTCCAGCCAAAAAAATACACCTTTTCTGTCACACTTCAGAGGCTTTGTGGTTTATTCACTGCCAGGAGCAGGGAAAGTATACTGTGGTCCAACATAGTCCACATGATGCCCCCAGGGACAGGAAAGGCTACCGCTGACACAGTAGGTTTGACCTAAATTATAGCTAGAGCAGACTGACTGGCCGAATAAACTGAGCTCACAAGAAAATGCAGCCGCTTTCTTTACACCTGAAGCAAGCACCAAAGCGGTTTCAGAGGGATTAGCATTACAGTTCTGAGCTGAATGTTTTCAGAATTAGGTCCAGACAAGATGTGAGTGTAAATAAGGCTTAGTTTTTACCCGGCATGCCCTAGTTAGACTTTAAAATCAGACAATGAATAGTAAGTATTGTTTTTAGTCAGGGTCAGTGCAATAATCCCACATATTGTGTTTAGTACATACATTGCAAGAAACCAGCTGCAGTGCAATAGTGGGGTAATGACACATTAAAGGCAAATGTTACCTAAAATGTTGTGACTTTAAAGGACCAGTCTAGTAATTATGATGTGATCAACATGTGTTAAAAAACAACCAATAGAGGAAACTAAGTATGTTTCAGTAAGTACTGCGCTTGAGTACAATTTTGAGATACTTCTAGTTCACTTAAGTGTCTCCTCTTCTATATGCTTTCACTTCATTTCAAAGAAAAATATTATACTTCCCACACCACTACATTTATTTTTACAGCTGTGGTTACTTTTAAGGAGAAAAGTTTACCCAATGAATAATGTAACAGGTTTTTAAAATACAACACATTGTTAAAGATTAAACCAGAGGTTTCCAACCTTTTTGGCTTCTTCCAAAAAGCAGTGTGTAGTCAGCTCATATTTCAGATATCCATGAATTGTTAACAGCTCCACCAAATGCTGAAAACTTCTATTTCTCTAAACTTGACTTAAAAAGTCCAAAAACTCACAACAGATTTGCGTATCAGCACTTACTTTCCTTCTCATAAATTATGTGATGACCCTCAGATTTATCTGCTGACCTTGTATATAAAACTGTATATCAAGTAGTTCAGACCAGCTCCACCTGCAGCAGTTACATGCTGCTGACACACTGATGTTCCAGTATTTGCAATATAACGGTGTCATATATAATAATATATCAGTCAGAGGAGCCAAACCAGTAGTTCTATGGCATTACTTTAACTACATGTTGCTGCTATGTACTTTTTACTCAAGTAGGATTTTTTCAGTGCAGGGCTTTTACTTGTAATGGAGTATTTTAGCATTGCTGTATTAGTACTTATGTAAAGCATCTGAATTTATCTTTCACTACTAAAAACAATGAATTAAAAAAAGAAGAAAGTGTTACAGAATCAGGACATGGTGCTTCAAAGCAGTGGGCATTTGCCAGGCACAGAGGATCTAGTGCAGAAATGCTTTTTGCTGTGGGAAATGTAGGATTCAACGAATTTGATTCAAATATTTCAGCCTATGTTGGTTCAGTATTATCTAAGTTTTGACTAATTTGTCCTTGTGAGTCACCCTCTTTATCTATCTTTATGTAGAAATGAGTCAAGGGTTATTCTTTTTGGTTTTTCTGTCCCTCAGGTGTAACACTGAGAGTGAATGGTACCAAATCCATGAGAACATCATCAAAAAGGCCAATTCCAGATACAACTTGTCTGGATCCAACACTGGTAAGAACCACATCTGTTCCATTCATTTGACTTCCTCACATCTACACAACGAGTTTGAGACATGAGACAAGAAGAGGATTTAGTAACACATGTTGGCCTCCTGAGTCTTAAGCACATTCACAGATTTACTTTTTGTTGTGTTTCAAAGCTGCCAATTCAACAGTCTTTATAAACTCTGGTTCCTTTTCTTTCATAACACCTTTATTCTGCTCCGATGACAGCTCTTGCATCACTGGTGTCTTATCATGCGATAGTCACTTTCCGGTCAGTCTGAGTAGCGCTGGTGTGGGAGTGAAGTTCCTCTTTAGGGGAGCGGATCATTCTTCACATGCTTGTGTCTACAGGAAACCCGCCATTGCATATGCATTCAGATGGTTTGTATAAATAGCTGCATCCGCATCACACTGAACAACAGCATCAGCAGTTTCCCATAGCAACAGGTTGGTGGAGAGTCAGAACATTCAGTTCTTCAGACGTCAAAGAAGAACCATGTGACATATGAAAAGGTTTGTTATGCAATAAGATCTACATTTCTATGGAGTTTAGAATGATACAGATGCAGCTTTTGGATAAAGAAATGCATTTCAATAAGATGAGCGTCATTATTATAACTTTGCTGCAGATTGTGAAGCAGGAGCACATATTCCTAATTCAAACAGTGTTCGCCAGGATGCAGCTGTTTACATCAAGGGGCAAATGTGCAACCAACTGTAAGCAATCAGCAACAGTTCATCAGAAGTTTGTCTTAAAGCTCATTTACATAAATGTGTTTGTGAATGTGACTGCAAACTTGCTGCAGGCTGTTATTCTCCTAATGAAAATGTTCATTTTGTTGTGTGCTATCAAAGTGCACCGTCTACTTCCACTTGCCTATATGTTCTTGGAGAAACCGCAGAGAGTGCTCCACAGAAAAGGTTGATGATTGTTTGAGGACTATCGGCACGCCGCAAACCAGGGAAATGGGGAAAGGAGATTACAAGAATGTCAAGAATCTGCGAGACTGATCTGCTGAGTCAGCGCCTCTTTTCCCCCTGCCCTCGGAACGCCAATAATTACTTGAGGAGAAGTCACACGACTCCGGGATGTTAAATTATCGCGAATGATCTCGCACAAGCGTGAAGGGATGCAGTGATTAAACTGAACGACACAAAGCCATTTAACACAGCCGGCGTTATCTGAGCTGCGTCTTTTACACCACGTCGGTTTATAACAAAACTGCAGCATCCAGCTGAAATCTTAAATGTCGGCGTAACCATAGACTCGTGTAATGTAAAGCGCTTTTGCATTGCCAAATGATAAAAGTAAGAATTAATTTCTGATAAAGCAGAGGAATGGTGCTAAAACAGGAGCATAAAACAACCATTTACTTATTTTCTTAAAGTTATTACCTGCTGTTTTCTTATCTCATATTGGACTAAATCTTAATCAGGTTCGTCCTCTACGAGTCTATCAGCTTTATTTGCTGCTTATTCCTGCTGCCTGTCTATATTATCATAGACAGCACACAGCTATGCACATGTGATCAGATTCAATAAGAGATAATGCATACAGATGATGTTCTGTATTGTTGCTGCTCAGCCTCCACAACCTTTTTTCAGATGACACTGCAGATGCTGTATGTTCTTCTCGAGTTTAGGCAGCGCAGTGCTTGATGCCTGCTGCATAACAGTGACATTTTCGTCCTTAAGATTTTGTAATCAGAACCAATTATTCACACAAAACAACATGAAGAGGAGACGGCATGTTGCTTTAGTTCACAGTATTTTCTCAAAACGTATCCATCACGTAAGCGTTTCGATGCTTCAGGCCTTCGCTTTGACAGACACGCTCGGCTGGCGCAAACACACACATAATAAACACACGTAAGTGAATTATTCTAAAGAGTTTACTCCCGTCTTTGGCCGCAGTGTGCACTTCATCACAAACACTTGGATGTTAGCTATTGAGTAGCTGTCAGCTAAAGACATTGATCCAGCTGAACGCCTGATTTGCCTCAGCGCTTTCTCTTTTCAAAGTGCATTAGAGGAGAGCTGCGGGTCTTTTGTCATAGTATGCTCGCATGCATAATTCAAGTCAGTTTGTTCCAAAATCACATTTACACCACTTAACTAAATTTGACATTGATCTTATAAAATGAAAGAAAAAGAAAAAAAAAAAAAAGGCTTTAATCGCAAAGTAAAGGCAATAATTTTAATATTTAAGATAATGAGCTCTGGATATTAGCTTTCACTTATGAGTACAATTCACCTGCCTGGACCAAGTAAATTAATTATGGTTTTATTAGCTTTGACAGTTTTACTTGGCGTGCGTTGTGCTCTTTTTAAGTTCTATCTCTTTAATTACATGTCTCTCTCTCGCTCTCACATACACGTCTGCTCGAATGCTAATAGCTCTGCAAAGGCTGCAACAACCAGATATCATTTCCACATTTACTGTGCGAAGCAGTACACTCGCATGTGCAGCAACAAGTAAGAAGATAACCAAAATATTCCAGGAAGCAGTCCAAATCCCTACTGCCTCTAATTTCTTTTCCTTAATCTCCAAATCTTCTCTTGTTCCCTGCTCATTCCACGTTCAAAACACAAATACACAACATCACTTGCAGCCCCCCCGCTTTTTTTTCTTTTTTTTCTTTTACCTTCTTATTGGAAAAGTCAATTCCTCCCAAAAGGCAATTATTCTGCAGCAGAGCAACATTACAGAATAGATAACACTTGAGCTGCATGCCAAGCTGCGACAACAAATGTGAAAACTACAGAGAATATTTCATCTTTACCAAGCAGGTCAGTGTCTCCTTTCCAGTTTGTCCCTTTAAAACCGTTCATGCAGGAGTTATGGAACGCCATGCATAATTTAAGCACCGCAATTTATTACACTTAGTGTCAGGAGGGCAATTAAAACAGGTTTGAAGTGGCGTGAGATATCGGTATGTGTAAATGTGTTCATATACGTGCGCGCTATGCTATCTTTGCACGAGCTTGTGTGTGTCGCAAGTTGTCTCGCTGTGTGGTTCTCTTTTTTAAACAGACCTGGCAGTGCTCCAGAAGTCTCTTATTAGCAGCCAATTAGCAGGGGAGAGATGAATGCACTGCCCTTAAAACATACCCGGCTGCTTTTTTTTTTTTTTTGTAATGAAGAGGAAGGGAGACAGCCGATGTGGAGACGGTTATTTTGTTCTCATGTAGCCTAATGACTACCTTGTTTTCCCTTCACCCGCGTTTCATGGTCACAGGTTCTTTTTGGGTGATCGAAACTGAGAGACTGATGAGAAGATTTTGTTTACCTGCTCCCAGTAAATCCATAAAAGGGATTTCATAAGAATCTGGCTCTGTGTGTGAGTCAGGTCAGGTAGACAATTCAGCTCCCACCTCCACATGCAAGCGTAGGCAGCGACAGAAGAGGCTGCGACAACTCCACTGTTTTGTTTTTGAGTTTTTTGCTTTTTTTTTTTGTTTGTTTCTGAGTTTGTGAAGAGGCAGGCCGGGTGGGCTGAGTGCAGCAAAGGTTGAGGGTGTTGTTTTTTTTTTTTTGGTCGGCCTCGGCTGCATCTACTGGGCAGAATAGCAATGAAGCTGGTTTTGCCTAATTGTGGCCCTGCATCAGCTTTTAGAGCCTGTCTGTGTGTGTTCGTTTATGTGAGTGTATAAATAGCAAAGGCTGGATCTGCAGTAAGGGGCAAGGAGATTGAGCTTGAGTAGAAAAAAAGAAATCTGAACTTAATGGGACTCTCCTTTCAATTTCCACCAAGCCTTTGTGCTGCAATGAACACACTGTTTCTGTGCTATTTTGGAATTACTTAGACCAGAAGACCGATCTGAAGCATCTCATTCATCCCTCTCGCACTTTGTATGTGTGATGTGGTTGTTGTTGTTGTTCTTTTTTTTATTTTGAGATTGTGAAGAAATGTTATCCTGACATCGTAGAGGTACAGAGCTGTGCTGCTGGTGCCTTACAAAGCCCAAAATATGGCAAATTTGGTCAACAAGAGGTTAAGACTTACTTTATAACATCAGTTTTACCATATAACCTTACGTAATTCATATGTTATGCTATTAAAATTGACAAAAAAAAGCATGTTGTGTTTGTAGTAACTGCGCAAATGCAGCCAAAGTCTAACCACAGTTTCTACACTTGTGCAGTGCAGTTACTAGATTCTCACCGTGACTACTTTGGTTAAAATCTATAAATAATTCACCACCACACTTTCTAAATAGGTTAAACAAGAGCAGGTTACAGCTAGCTTGGTGAGAAACCCAAAGCTAAACATCTTGAGTTTGTCCGTAGCTGTTATCTGCAATAAACAATAGAATTCATGATGAAGTGGCATAACTAAACAAATAAATAAATACACGTGGAAAGAAAGCATTTAGCCTTTATATACTGTCCTCATGTACTCGCTGAAGAGTATCCAAAAGCCATCAAACCCACTTAAATGTTGACTCTGATTCCGGAGAAAGGTTTGCACGTTTACATATTATGAGCATGCATGTGCACAGAACAGATTGGAATAATCGATGCATGTATGGGCCCAAGCCACTTTGTTTTCCGTTCTAAGTCAGGGCTGTGTACAAACCATAGACTGTGTCTATGTAAGTCTTAGGTTTATTGAGCAGCGGTTTTGAAGCTCAGCGTGGTGGCTTCAGGTGTGGCCATTTTGGCAGCACCTGACTGCTGCTCTGTTCCGGCTCATCTGAGAAATGTACAAAGAGGTGAAGTGTAAGTGGAGCTAAGGTGAGCAATACAAACGTCTCTGGAACATGGACCATCCTCAGAGTGGACATTCCCTTAATTATGCAAAACTTTAAACCTTAATACAATTTGAAGTGGTGAGTTATATAAACAGTGACCCTCTGTACACTTGTCATGAATGGCAAAGTTAGCTATAGAGACCAAAGTGTTTGTTTGAACATGTTTGGTTCTGTTGTAAAGTTGGGCATTTTAACATGGCAGTCTATAGGGATGGACTCGCTTTTGGAGCTGGCCTCAAGTGGCCATTTAAGGAACTGCAGTTTTTAAAACTGGCTTCACTTTTCCACCTTGGAAGTTGCTGCTTTGTGCAAACCGTGACGACATTGCATTTGATTAGAATTGCTGATTTTACCTTTAAAGTGAGCTTTATATAAGCATGGCAACGACTTGTTTGTGTAACAGTATCACAAGCACAGGCACGACGTGAAGGCATTACAAGCAACTATCTGATATGCGATTTACTGGCCAACTTGAAAACTTTAATCTGCTTTTTTTCTAAACTACTCTTTTACCGCTCTGTGCCTTTGTGCAGCGGTGTAGTCTCGCATATCACAACCAGGTTTGCAAACAAGTCACGTCTCTTTGTTGACTCTCATTGACTGAAACGTCTCACAGCTAATGAACCATTTCACCGCTGCCTCCCGACTTTCCCGAAAAAACAACCACCAAAATACTAATTATCATCATCATCTTGTCTCCTGCACATTCCCTTGCTGTTTTAGCTGTTTATGTATCTGCCTCTGCTCACCGCGAACACGGACAGGCGCACGCATACACACAGACACATCAAGGAGAGGCATTTTAAACTCTAAATACAAGTCGGTGCTTTAATTTAGCTCCGCTGACATTTGGAGTTATTGCGTAAGGATATTGATTTGAGACGACGGCCTTCATGTAGGATTTCCTCTTAATAAAAATGAACTGGAGATGACTCACAGGCTGCTTGCATTTTTTTTTTTGTTTATATATATATGTGTGGGTTTCTGGTTGCTTTCCATACACATAAGTGTTGCTGTTGGCAAGTGTAACTGTCTGGTTTGCAAGTCCATACGGCGGTAATAAAACTTGAGATGTGCCCTTGTGAATACTTTTTTCTTAGCTCACCAATACAAGATTGTTTATAGTGTTGGGAAAAGGCTTGTGATATATTTTGAGTTTTTTTATTGAGTGGCTTTGGTAAAGGATTAAAGAGTAAAAATCAAGGCTGTGCTTTGGCTGTGTACGGGAATATGATATTTAAGAGTTTTTTTTAATGTACTCATTATCTCATTTTTAGGCCTCGCAGTGGCTCTCCAGCTCCTCCACGGAGACATCGAGCAGCTCAGACGGGAATACATGGTCCTCTTCACCCGTGGCGTGTCCATCACCAGGAAACTGGGCTTCTCCGATGTCATCATGCCAGGTAGGACGACACACACCATCACTTTGGTCCAGTGTTCCCAACTACTTGACTTTCATTTCTGGATGTTACTGTCATTATTTCTACACACCGATCTTCCTGAGGGGTAGTTTAGGAAATTTACTTCTACAAGACTTCATTTATTTATCTGGATGTTATGAATACACAATCAAACAAATAATACGACTTATAAAGCAACTTTGATCAGCCCTAGTTTCACAAAATGACTACAAGGCTCTGGTGTTTTAGCAAAAATCTTAAATGATAACTGCTTTTTTTTTGTCCATTTAAAGACCTCATATGGTGAAAATCCCTTTACATTGTGTTTCATGTGTTTTAAAGACTTGGATGGATAAAATACTATATTTTAATACACCCAAATTTCCAACAAAGTCGTTCTGATTTACATATTTTTTCTGTTTCTGTTGTCAGACAACGGAACGAGTATGAACTAGTGACTAAAATACAGCTCATTAAGACTCCATATTAACAATCAGTCACTTTGTAGCCATTTCCTAACTGTACCAAAATGCAGATTTTATGTTTATGATGTTGTCTAATAAAATCACCATGCACATGAATTGTTTGATTTGGCTGCATTTCCATGTGAAATGATCATTAAGAGACAAAGCGAAAAGCGACAGGATGTTCAACTGTGCTGCTCAGTCCTTCACCGAACAGGACAGAAGCAGAGAGAGTCTTCTTCCTGAAGGGGGCGTAGACAGCAGCTGCTCAAGTCCATTTGAAGCTACAGACAGTGAAAGAGCCTGTTTAGAGTTTTGCTAGAATGATCAGTCTTTGTGATATTTTGAGTGGAAAACTAAAGAAACATGTGAGACATTCAGTATTTTGCTGAAATGAGGAACAGCTTGAGATCGTCAAGATGGGTCGTTAACTGTATGTACTGTCCTAAGATTCTGGTTCAGCAGTAGCAGCAGTATACATTAAGAAACATATCATTACATTTCACAAAGTCATGTCATCATTTAATCATTTTACGACTATTATGAGCCATTCTCAGACAAATGACATGTAACATTGCTGGCCTCATCAATCCATCCATCCATCCATTATCTATACACCGCTTAATCCTCACTTGGGTCGTGGGGGGCTGGAGTCTATCCCAGTTGACTCAGGGTGAAGGCAGGGGACACCCTGGACAGGTCACCAGTCTATCACAGGACTACACTTAGAGACAGACAACCAAGCACACTCACATTCACACCTACGGACAATTTAGAATCACCAATTAACCTCAACATATTTTTGGACTTTTGGGAGGAAGCCAGAGAACCCACGCTGCACAGGGAGAACATGCAAACTCCACACAGAAAGATCCTGGTGCCTCCACCGGGACGCGATCCGCCAACCTTCTTGCTGCGAGGCAACAGTGCCAGCCTCATCAATCCTCATCATCCTCATCAATAACGGCCTTTTGTCATTAATACCCATGACAGAGATTAAGATTATCTGTCAGATGCAGAGATCAACCTGCGAACCAATAACTAATACCTGTGGCTATCTTGGAATTAATATTGGCAAACAAGTTTACTACTCGATAACCCATTACGTTTAATTCGAATGGCCGCAATAACGCTACTATAAACACTGTAGGACTCTGGATGGCAGTGAATCTACCTAAATAGCCATTATTATTATTATTATTATTATTATTATTATGAGGCATGTTGAGAGTGATGCGTAAATGTTATGGTGTTCGAGCTGGTAAGATTGACAACTTTTACGGAAACAGGACCAGAGTGCTCATTTTAGTGATGAAACCAACCTGTTCAGATTAAAGGAACAGAATGCGTGTCTGAAACAGGAATTAGTCATCCTTGCAGTGGTATTTTTGCATTGTTCATCCCACTCAACTATCAGCTGAAGTGTCGTCACATTAACTGATGTTTTACTTTACTATGTTTTCTATACCTGCCTAAGTACTCATTTATCCCTCAATCCATCCATTCATCTATTCATATATTTCTAAACTACTTATCTTGAGTGTTACGGAGATAATGCTAAGAGATGGATAACGACAAAAACATGCATCCAATTTATGACTTCTTTATCTGTGAGAGGAAACAAGATCATGCACAGAGGCTGCAGCTGGCTGACTCAAATGGACCCAGTTATTGTCAAGCAAACCTTCCCTTGTTTATTCCCCATAAAATGCTGCGACAACTGGAGAAAACACACCAGTTTTTATGTGTCCGATAAGGTTTCTGGAGAGGGATGGGCCAGGCAGCAGGTGTGAGAAGGCGATCATAAAATGGGCATTGATGTCTGTGTTTATTAGATAATATTTAAGCTGACACCTTTTGAGGCTGTAAACTTGAAAGAAAAAACATCTTCCGCTCTATTTCGTATTGCGTATGTTGACCTCCTTAAAATATCTACTGTAGTTGTCTTGGCAACACCTGACATCCCCACCTATCGCACGCGTTGAGTGATATTTGAATTCCACCTTAGGGTGCTCTCAGATAGATGAAATATTCAAGTTGTTTCAGGTAGATAGGCATCACTTAGATAGCTACTTCTCTAAATGACACAAGCCCCTGCAGAGACCCTCAGGCTGAGCTGGATGGGGTCTTGTTGCCTTGGTAACAAATGCACAACCATTTGAATGTAAGATGAAACAAGAGACACCAAAAGTGCATGTTTATATTTACATATGCAGGAGGAGGAAAGCAGCGAAGGAGAGTAGCGTCGGAATTAGCTTTCTGACTTTTTCATTTTTGAGAGCTCGGCATCAGGGGACTTTTTTTTTTTTCTTCTTCTTTTACTCCAGACGAGCACATCTCTTAAATAAGTGAGGTGTGTTGTCTGGTCACACAGATAAAGAGGAACCGCAGACTCTGGGCCCCTCAGCGCCTCACTAACACAGATTTATGTTCACCGTCTTTTTCTTTGTCTTTGTCTGGCTACAAACCCTTAACGCTGAGTGCTCTCACCCTCTCTGCTTGTGTAAGTCTGCCCTTGGGCAAAGGAAAACGTCTCTCCTTTCTCGCTCCCCTTTACTCCTATTCTGGATTTGTATCTGACTATGTCTCTCCTCCTCATTTTCTTTTCTTTTCTCCGTCCAGCTGCTCTGCCCCCACCCACTCCACTTCCCCTTTTCCCATTGTACATTTAAAAACAGCCCCTGTGTGTCTCAACCCTCCTGTGCTCTTTGTGTGTGTGTGTGTGTGTGTGTGTGTGTGTGCGCAAAAAAGCAAGTGTACAGTATGGGTGGATATAGAATGCCTCACGTTGCCATGGTTACTGTCGTTAAGAGCAGAAAATCAATTTTGACCCTAGTGATAGAGATATGATGAGCACACGTGTGCTCACACTTACTGCGGCTGTGTTTTGTGCCAGACCACAGCCTGGCTGCAGGAGGAACAAGCCTTTCCTCTTTCCTACCCAGCATCCTTTGCACCATTTTTTTACTTCCCCTGCAGAAGGAAATAAACGCACGCCTGGCTCAGTCATTGCACATTCAGCTGCGATTTTAACAAGAAGCCATAGAATATTGCTTCCTGGGATTATTTTCCCCCGAATGTTTTTGCAGATTGTAGCACAAGACCAAAGGAAAGCTGGAGTTACAGGAGTTTTTATTTTTTTATTTTTTAGGTTCCTGGACAATGAGCTCAGTTTTAACATGCAGGAAATTAGCCTTCAGCCATCAGGCTGAGTGCATTTTTAAGGGAAATTTATTTATTGACGTTTAGGATACATGATGTTTACAGTTATTTGTAAATTCTTAGTTTAAATTTTGAAAGTCAAACTTTAAAATCGGCTGTGTCCAGGGTAAACTCTTGCATCTTTTACACCTTGTAGCACATGCATTGATCGACTGATTGAGATATTTATTTCGAATATGTAATGA